GATGATTTTTCAAAGATAGATATTTTCTCCTTGTCCCCCAGTGGTTACGCCATCGGGCAGCATAGATCAAAGGAGTTATGACAGTTTTTGAAGTGGAGAAGGGGTTGCATGGGTGTTGTGCTCATTATGAAATCTTCCTTTTTATTCTTTTTCTCTTCTATTTTAGTCTTTCCTTTTCTTTTCCTCTTCTTTCTCTTTCCCTCCCTCTCTCCTCTTATTACCCAGCTCGGTACGACGGCTTGGTCAGCCCGGTAAAAACCGTCAGGGGAGGGGCAGTTTTTCCCCTCCCCCCCCGCCTGTTACGACACTGGCTAACACGCCAATCATCCCCCCCAATGAAAAATATTTTTCTACGCTACTGGATGTCAAACCACATCCAAATGAGCAAATATTTTTATTATTATTTTGTCTTAAAAAGGATCACAAAAAGAATGAAGATCAATCAAGACAACCGTTTGTACAGACGAAACCGATAATGATCTCCAGAGGTATATGATGTACAATTACATTTAGTCATTTACGTTATCCATTCATTCATTCAATCATTCATTCATTACTTTTTTCATTATATAATTAGATTTTATGATATTGTTGCTGGTATTTTCAGATGCAAATTGATGTGCAGACAAAAGAAAAAATGTTGTTTTTGAAGCTCAGCTTCAGAATCTTTTATTTTAATCAGAATCTCAGACTGATCCTGTAGTCATTAAGGATGTTGTTGGTGTATCATCATTGCCTAATTCACCCATAGCTACATACACACCTTATGTTAGTGAAGGAGAATCAACCCCACTTTGTCAAAGTGATGGAGATACAACATTTAATCCAGGTGACACATACAGTACTGACTAGAGGACTTTCTACATTCCTCGCGTGGATCGTGCGTGTGTTTCACGAGTAAAAAGCGTGGGCCATTATTCTGCGAGTGCTCAATTAACGCGTGAATGATTTTACTCGGCATACACTTCCTGGTAAAAATCGGAACTTGCGGTCCACGAACGGTCACGTGGGCGGGTAAAGTTGTTTATTCACAATCTCTTACCATGCTCTTACTAAAGTTCCTTCACGACATATCCAAGCGTGCTGTTACGTAATCTGAATATACTCCTTTGTCTCTATTGTTATTAGTACGAAGAGTCTTTCAGGCGTGGTTGATTAATAGATTTTGAGTATAGAACAATAATTGCATGCAGTAGTTAATTTTAGAAAAAATAAAATCGTTTAAGTTTGTAATTCCCAAATAAAACAATCGTCTTATTATTATTTACGTAACCGTTGTCTGTTTTTATTAGACGCAGTAAGTCAACACATTCATCTTATAAATATTTCAAATACATCACTTTCCGGTATTCTAAATTGTTCATATAAATAATCTGTATGATTCTAAATAAAAAGACAGTCTCGACATTATTATTTTCATGTTTCATGTGCGGTTGGGTACCAGCTTTTTTATAC